CTGACTCAGTCTCAAGCCTCCAGGACTTGGGGCAAAGCTGCATTCGCGTTTTCAGCCTTTCCAGGGTCACTGGGCTGCTGAAGTCAGAGGTGGAGCATCCAAACAGACATAGCATCCGACATCTACTTTGGTGCGGATGTCTTGGAGCTTCCTTCTGTAACTCCTTAGTCTCTTCAAAGCCAGGTTAAAGGAAGATGAAAAATGCCTTCAGAAAGGGGTAAAGAACAAGGCCTGTAAGTCTGCAAGAAAGCAGCAGGCAGCTTTGGGAGTGGGGAAGGCCAAAAGCACTTCCTATATGTTGCTGCCTCTCACAGAGCACTGACCTGGGAGGGAGCAGCTGAGGCCATGCCAGCTAAAATGAGTAGATGCTGCTTATGGAAGGTTTCCCCTTTTCCATATAAAGTAATTTTGAAGGGAAAATACTTTGCCAGCAACTTAGGAGACTGGAGTCTATTTTCAGACTTGCAATAGCTTGTTAGAGTGAACAATGTTTAGTTTTTGCTTTGGTTAGCCGTCTCACAGGGAGTGTTCCCAGCCTGTGTTTGACCTGGGGCTGTGGCACAGCAGTGCTCGTGAGGGCTGGCTGGGAATCAAGCTGACACCCACGTGAGCTTCAGCGTGTGGTGCGTGGCTTTGTGTGAGCTTCAGCATGTGGTGCGTGGCTTCGCGTCTTCGTGTTCTGGACTTCCCGCACACACCCAAGCACCAGGGCATACCCACAGTGCTTAGTGTCCAGCTTATTTTTGCCTTTAGTGACATACCTGTAGGCCCCTTGATTTTAGCAGAAAAGTTACTGCTCTGCTTGCTGTGCAGTTTTTATTTGTGTGTGTGGACACCAAAGGAAGATCGGTGAGGACGAGGTAACCCTGAGCTGTGACAGACCGTCCAGGTACCAGTGAGAGGCAGATGGGTGGGCTGGGAGATGCCAGGTCTCTGCCTGCTGTGGCTGAGCAGAGAAGAGGTGCCTGGCGTGGGGAGGGGTCTCAGGAACAGATGCCAAATGACATCCTCATCGAGGAAGTCAGGCTCTGCCACATGCTGCTGCAGCAGAAAAGCAACTACATAACAGCAATGGGAACTCCTCTCCAGCTGCTGCTTTTGACATAATGCAGGCTGTCAGCTCCCTGCAATCTGGAGAAAAAAATAGTCCCTGCACAAATGGTCAGGCTCTCTCCCGGGGTGAATGAGATCTGGGGCTCTGTAAAAAGCCCCATCCTGAGCTGGGGAGAGCTATTTGTTTAACAAACAATGGGCAGAGTGCTGAGGAAATGCCTGAAGTGCCTGTGGAGAGCAGCTGATTTCCATCAAGAGCTGGGGCTGTCCTCCTGGCCAAGGAGCTTCTGCTCAGTCAGGGCAAGTCCTGCAGGGAGCATCTGCACATCAGCAGTGCCCGTGGTGCAGGCCTTGGGGGGGAGTGGAGACCACTTGGCCACCTTGATCGTGATGACCATGACCATTTCCATCAGCAGGTGCAGCCCTCAGGTCCTCAGCCCGAGGGAGGCAGATGGAGAAACATTCCCCCTTGGGGGCAGTGCTGCAAGTAGAGCAACAAGGCCTCTAAGGTGCAGGCTGTAGGATGATGGCTGAGGGTCTCCTTGCTGGCAGGAATCAAGACATCTGCTCTGTACAGGGTGGGCTTGTTTCCAGCCCTGGTGAACACATGGTGGCCTTGCTTCCTTCACAAGAATTCCCAAAGCAAGAGGGTGACTTGGAGGGGGGAGTGTCTTCATATCTTCGGAAGTGCTTGCAAGGCTCTGCCATCCTCTGCATCTCTTGTTGCTGTGTCATCTATCCAGCTCTGTCTGCTCTGGGGGATTGTGGGAGAGAGTGAGTGGGACCAGCACAGGCAATAAGCAGGGTGAGGGCCATGCACAAGAGTGTCAGCCCACTGTAGTAGGAGTCTAGCTACTGCTGTGGCCTGTTGTGATTTGACTTTAAATCTACTGACTTCTTGGCCTTTCTCATTTATTTTTAGTGGCGGAAGAAACACAACTCTAGAATTTTGGCTGTATGGATTAAAGTCAAACGTCCGGAGAGTCCACAGTGACTCTTCCCATGACACTTGTTGCATCTCTCAGGATGTGTATTCCCTCCTGGCCTCAGAGCTGTGCTGGATAGAGGTGGAGGCCTGTGGATGCTTCCAATTCATTTTGCAGCCAAATGCAGAACGTCATGTTCTGCCTGGTTAGATCAGGATGTACATCCCGAGCTCGAGCTCAGGACTGCCTTTTAAAAGTCAGGCTCTTGCTGTGCTGTGGCTGCTGTGCCAAGCCAGCCAGAGCTTTGCTGTGAAGCTGTGCAGGCACTTCTTTCCAAGAAGATAAACAATTTCTCCTTGCCTGGGAGATGGGTAGACATTCTTTCTCTCTTTACCCCTGCCAGCAGTTGCTGCTGAAAAATCCTTGTGTGATATGCTCCTGGCAGGGTAAGCAAACACCTGTGGGCAAGAGGGAAACTCAGCAGCAGCCAAGACTGAGAGACCTCAGGCAATGAATGTAGTGGTGGACTGAATGCTGCCAGTTCCCAGCCAGGGAAGAGTTGAGCCAGATCCTGGAAGAGCATAACAGTGCCTTAAAATCTACCTGACTTTTAACATAAGTCAAGATCTCTCCTTTTCTGTGGTGGGAGATGGTGGTCATTTGGGGGGCAGCTGTGTTTCCTGCCTCATGGAGAACCTCAGTAACCAGTGATAAAGAGGATGGTGTCGTGCAGGGGCAGACATAGCCCTGCCTGTTGGGGACAGGCCCTGAGCTCTGCCCTAGGAAGGGCACTTGGCACGTGGAGGGTTGTACATGTTTGGAGCAGAAGGCAGCAGCCGTAGCAGGCTCTGCTGGGTGCACATCAGCTGGAGGCCCTCAGAGAGCTAAGTGCAAGCTAAGCCGCCTGGGAACATAGGGTCCCATCGGAGCTTCCAAGTGCACTGTTGTCCCTATTGTTTAAGGGACACCGGAAAAAGAACAGCTGGGCTGTGCAGGAAACCGCCTCGTGCTGGGTAAGGGGAGCAGAGTGTGTGACCTGAGGTGGCCCCGTCATGGGGATTCAATGCCCTGGGCTTGGCCACAGCCTCGCTGCTGCGCAGGGGCCAGGCTGTGGCTGGGGGTGCAGGTCACCCCCCCTTTATTGTGGTGTATTCGAGGGGAACACCTTCAGCGGGGTGTTGCTGAGAGTGCAGAGCTGGGCATGGGCTGCTGTGGTACAGATCTGCTCTGGGCCACCTGGGGCAAGGATAACTCCAGCACTTTTCCATAAGGGAAAGGGTGCTGTGACTCTTGACACACCCCTCTTTTGACGGGTGCACAGGAATCAATTCACGAAGCAGCACACACAACAAATGGATAAGCATGTAATGAAATGCTGCTTAAATTTTTGACTCAGCCCTGTGCAGATGAGGAGCACCTGGGTTGTGGTATCTGCCAGGAAACCACCCGTGCTGACCATTAGGAGTGGTTTCAACCATCGCCCAGGGCTACACATAAAACTTCTCTGCTTCTCTGCAGCTGCCTCCTGTCAAAACCAGAACTGGAAAACTTCTGTAACAGAGAATATTGAAGGCAGCCACCCCGGTCTCTTAGCAGCTTCCCACCAGCAGGCCATGTACAGTCATTCCTGAACAGGGAAGTCTCAAAAGAGAAGAGCACACACTTCTCTGGGATCACAACAGCTGCTCAGGAGTGGGGAGCCACCTCAGCATCTCTTGGGTTAGAATAGAAGTATGGCTGATACCCTTTGGCTGGTGATACCAGTGTGGATCTGACCCCAGATCCTGAGGAGGAAAAAGACACCAGCTTTCTGCTGGAAGATGTTAGTGCGGTGGGATGCACCTGGAAACCTGCTCCCCACTGCCTGTGATGGCTGTAGGGGGGAGTGCACACGCAGGGCTGAAATCAATGCACGTTCAGGACCCCCATAAGGAGCATCAGGACCCAAATCCGCCCCTTTTTTATGGGGCTGAGAATAAGCCATGGTCTGTGAGCCAGCATACCCAAGGGCTTCAGTTAGGCATATAGGAAATGCCTTCTCCTGATGCAGTGTAATGGGAGCTTTAGTTTCCTGTTACTGCCTGCATCTTCAGAGCAGAAGCGGGAAAGCTGTTTGTTGTGTTCTTAAAGCTCTCAATAACTGGAAATAAACACTGTGTGCTCCTTTGGTCTGCACTTCCTATTATGGGGAATTAATAGCTGCATTTTGTAAAACAGCCTCACTAAAGAGGGATTGAATAAAAAAGGCCATTCTTCCCTTTCTGGGATATGGGTTACATCTCCAACATTTCTCAGCCTGAGGGGTAAACATCTCCAGCCAGATCTGCAAAACAACTCTGTTCTCATCTTGCTTTGGAAGGAATTCTCTGTTTAACCAGGAATTGGAGCTCTCAGGGGAAAAGAAGCTCTGCATTTACCTAGTCCTTTCCCAGATTCCTGCCAGGGAGAGCTCTGCCACCCTCCAGCCAACCTCCTGTGGCTGAGTATTGCATACAGGTAAAACAGGAGCAGCGTAACATTGAATTGTGTTAGCCAGCTGCCATGGGATTGAAATCATACTAGGGAGAAAGATGCTGCCAAGTTGGCCAAGCTCTCCATGGCATGAGAAAGTGATGGGATGCACCCTGTCTCCTGGGGGTCCTTTCCTCCCTGCCAGCTGGCTTGGTGACTGCATGGTAAGCACATCCAGGCCAGTTTGTACAGGCCTGTTCAGTCCCTGAGATAACAGAATACAAACACTATCTTACCTCTAACCTCAGTCTTGCAAGTAGATAGACTGATCTGAACTGCTCAACACTTGAGTTTCTGTCTGGTTTCAGTCTAAACAGCTTAAGGCTGGATGCTTGTGTTGCTTCAGAGAGGGAAGTGCTTTGATGTGGGATCAATCCTGCAAGCTTTGCTCCAAGCAGGGATCTCCTTCACCCCATCCTCAAAACCCATCAGATTGGCCCACTTAAAAAGTTCAGCAAGGAGACAGCTTGTAGTCACCCCAAGCTTAAAAGCATTTCTCCCTTTTTGCAGGACCCTCCATTGTGACTCCTCCTAAGGATATCTGGAATGTGACAGGAGCACAGATCTACCTGAGCTGTGAAGTCATTGGCATCCCAACTCCTGTCCTCATCTGGAACAAGGTAAGGGTCCTGCTAGGAGCTCAGAGAGCACAGCAAACCTGAGGCAGCTGAAACTGCATGGTGAGCATAAGGACTGTAGCAGATCCCTCTGTAGAAACACACCTCTTTGATGAGTTCTCTCATCTGTGCAGTCCTGTACACCCCCAAACATTTGGTTTTGCTTAGTCTTTAGTCATTGCTTTTTCTAAACTCTTGTTGATCCCGAGGCAGAATATGTTTCTCTTGGTAGTGCCTGATATTTGGAGCATGCGGGGAATGTCCCCTGACCTGCTGTCACCCTGCTGGCAGCAGTGACTGAGGTGGCTAGACATCGCCCACATCGTCGGGAACAGGAACCACATGGGGCAGTTGTCTCCAGTAGCCAGCAGCATGTTGATCTTGGCAGCACTGGTAACATCTGGCTTTGGACAGGGGCCAGTGTTGAGCAGAGAAAATCGTAGCCGTAGGGCTGAGAGCCACAGCACAGCCCCTGTAGCCTCCTCAAGTGCCACAGGTTTGTGGACACTTGTGAAGGGCCTTAAAATTAAGCTGAAACAATACTAGCTTAAGGCTAGTATGGACTAAAAAAGCTAGATTGGCCCAAAATTTGCTCTAAGACAGTAAGCTTTATTCATAGGGGTGTCAGAGCAGACTCTTGGGTGAGCAATGTGGGCATGCTGACTCAGGCAGCGTTTACTGCTTGTTTATGAGTAGATGCTGAGTTTATACTGACTGTCAATGCTACTCTGCTTTTTGTGCCTCTACCTCATGGCCAAGAGACTGCTTGACACGGTGATAACAAGGGCTGAGTACCACTTACCCCGTGCTTGGCTCGGTGCTCAGATACACAGCACTGGGGAGAGGCTGCACTGCTGTTTTCTCCTCGATGCTGTGGCCACCAGGAGGGACAGCCTGTTTTGCTGCAGCAGAAACATGCAGGGCTGTTGCTGGTCTGTTGAGAAGAGGATAGGTCATGCAGGTGGACACTCAGTTCTCTACTGCTGCCAAATTAAAAAGCCTGATCAGCAGGAAGTTATGGGGGAGTCTCTCCAAACAAGGCCAACAGTCAGCTCCTGGTGGTCTCCCAGTCCCAAGCCAGAAGGCAGCTGCTCCAGCCTGCTGAACTGGATTGATGTACAGCTGCCAGCAGCTGCAGGCTGCTGCACTGATGGGCTAAACACACCCTTGGGAACACGCACATGAGTTCTGTGAGGCCAAGTCAGTGCAGTCAGTGCAGGGTATGTTTGCACACCCCACTGCCCAGCACCATCCGTATCAGAAAACCATGCCACTCTATCTGTTCCTGCTGAGGCCAGGGGAACACAGCCTCAGTGCAGATGCTGAGGCACTGGGGCAGTACCACGTGGACAGTAAGGTGAAATGCTGACACTAGGAAAAACACATTCATGTAAAACTAGCGTTGATCTTGTCTGTGTGCGGGTGTGGTTCTAGCAGTTCCAGCATAAATAAGCCTGCAATTCTTACCTGTTTCTGCCCTTCTGTTTAGATAATTCGAGGACAGTATGGTGTCCAGAGGATGGAGCTCCTGCCTGGGGACCGGGAGAACTTGGCTATCCAGACCCGAGGGGGCCCTGAGAAACACGAAGTGACTGGCTGGGTGCTCGTAAGTATTTTGTGTACGCAAAGAGCTGCACAAACAGTACAGGGCAGTTTGCGAATATGAACAAACAACAGTACAGAAGACAAATGGCAACACATAGGGCCTTTGGAGGAAAACAACCTGTGTGAATTAGGGGTGAAGGGTAAGGGTGGCTGCTTGCTCCAGTCTTACCTGTTGCATGCATCCTACCTCTGTCCAGCATGCAGCAGAGGGGTGCATTCTGTGATCAGAAAAGGATAGACTGAAAAAAACATCTCATTACTTTCCTGCTGCTGTTAGTGGGAAGGAGACCCTCTCCATGACTAGGAAGGAACTAGTACAGAGGTAAGGCATCCCTAAAACCCACCCACAGCTGGGGAGCCCTTACAAGTCTGCACTTTCCTCTGTGAAGCAGAGAAGAAAGCTAGGCTCACCCACAGGAGTGGGTGCTTGTCTCAAACCCCACTGAGGAGACCCACCACAATCTGAACCAGACTGTTTAGAGCTGACAGAATGCAAGGAGTCAGCATGGTTGCTAAGGGTGAACCCCTTCATGCACTCTGTTCATCTCATCATGTCTCAAGCAATTATCAAGTTACATAAGATACCTTAAAACAAAATCACCTCTCCCCATGCATGGGATGCTCATTGGAGGGCTGGGGGTGTGTTTCTTCCCCTAGATATCCCCTCTGAGCAAAGAGGATGCTGGGGAATATGAGTGCCATGCGTCAAATGCCAAAGGAGAGGCAACAGCTTCTGCAAAAATCCACGTTGTGGAAACTCTGCATGAAATAGCTCTGACCAAAGGTTGGTAAGTGTGGCTGAATACTCAGCAGCTCTCTCCCCAAACAGTTTACCGTTACTTGATACAAATGGACCACCTCTGTTTAATGCTTTCTAAAGAAACACAAACAAACCAACCCAACCCCCCCCTAAAAATAGCAGTTTTAACACACAGTTTTTTGTGTTTGGCCAAACATTCCCAGCAAATCTTAGCTCCTAGAGTTCTCAAGGGAGAGAACACTGCCAAGTGCAGTAAAGTACTGGAGATTAAACATACCAAATTAAAATTAAAAAATACCTTCTGGGTTTCTTGCAGAGCCACTTTCAGTGGTTTTCCAGCCCTATTTATATTGTCTGTGTTCTCTGGACACTTCCAAACCTGCCCATTTCTCCTGGAAGCAGTATTGGCACAAGCAGCCCTAAAGCAGAGGGAGAACTTCAAGCACTTAAATTCCTGCCAAGTCCCTGCACCTCCACCATCCTGGAAACACCCCAACACCTGCCATATTCTCTGCATTCTGGGGTGTCAAACCTTGGACGGTACAGATATGCCACAGCAGGTCCTCTTTGCCAGGCTGTGTGCAAAGCTGATGGCAAAACAACCACCCTCATTCCAGCTGCAGAGAGGATGGATCACTATCACATTCACATACGCTTAGGAATAAATCTGGATAGCTGGGACAGTAACTGCAACCATGCTAGAAGCAGAGGCACTGGGAACCAAGCATCCATGTAGAGAATACTGTGCTGCCCAAATCCAGTTTTGGACATAATCCTTAGTTTTAATCCCAGCAGCTTTATCCAAACTATACAGTCGTGACTTTCTGTATCCTTGTGTCTGTGAACAGCTGAAATACTGCCCTTAGGAGAATATTAACAGCACTTGCCATTGAATTAAGAGCTTAAAATGAATCCAAATATCATGCATAAGAACTCTGCTAATGGTTTTTAGCTAGTCTCTAATCCCTTTTCAAGCACTTTAGTTATGGATGTGAATGAAATTGAGCCACAAACAGCACACTTATACCCCAGAACAGAAAATGTTCACTCCCCCTCTCACAGTAACCACTGTGAGGCTGCAGTACCATGCATATTGCCTCATAGTTTATTTCTTACACACAACATCCATGTGTTACAGCTGTTTCTTTTCAGCTGTAGGAAAGCTCTCTAGTCAGCACGCTGGAGCCAGGCGATAAGTGCAGGCTGCCAGCTTAAAGGAAATTGATAAGGTTAATGGAACAGACTGTCAGACGTCATAGCTACACACTGAGAGTCTGTGTTCCATGTCCAGGTGATCTCAGCACAGAAAAATGCATTTATTATCATCCTCCTGCAGCAGGGAGGGAAGGAAAGAAGGAAGGAAGAAGGGATCAGGTCTCACCCTCAGCTAAAAGAGCACAAAGCTACTGCCAAAGTTGCAATATTCCCTCTTGGAACAGTACAGACTGTAACATGTTTCTGTTTTTCCACAGATGATGGTGCAGAGCTGTGATGTGAGGACTTTCACTTACGCAGTTTTAAATTAGTATTTTGGAAAGCTGCAAGCTCTGGCTTTTTCTAGCTGACTAATCGTTCCCTCTTAACTCCCTTATTCTTTGACTCCCAATTTGCTTGCACACTTTTTTCACAGATGCACAAATAAAGAGATTCACAAGTTTGATTACAAATTTTAATTCTATTTACAGAAAATAAACATACTTTTGAACAGCACACAGCAGATGAGTAAAACTGTATTTTGAATGCAACGTACATAAAATGAAACTAAACCCGAGAACTTCAGTCTCATAATTAAAAAAAAAAAGAAAGCCCTTTGAAAGGCTAAACACTCATCATACGAGGTGCAATACTCATAGACATCAGTTCTTGGAAGAGGAGTTTGCAGGCATAGGGCATTCGAACCAAAGATATCTGGAAAGAGATTTCAAAAGTCTTGTGATAAGCACTCCTAAAGCATCAACTTCCACCATCCTCTAAACAAATAACTCATCAAGTTTTTGGCTCAAAAGCGAGTCTGAAGTCGTGCATGAGAGCATTTAACAAGAATTGCTCACAGACAGTACCAAAGCAAGAAGGAAGCCTGAGACTGTCTGTAGAGGCTACAACAGCAGCTATCCAGAACACATTTTTAACATAAAACCTGCAACCAAGGGATCTGATCCTAAACAAGAGCCATTTAACACAGGAACGTGTGCACAGCCAAGTGTGCCTGATGTGCAGTAAGTGCAGTTAAGATTTCCGGCACACATCGATTTCTAACTCCGGTGCCACTGCTGGAGGGGCAGCAGTCAGTCCCTGGCACAACAACAAGCCTGTTCAAGGCAACTCTTTTTATCTCTGCTACCACCCTTCCTTGACATGGTGCTGTAACCAAGCACACACTGCAGGGCTTTTATTAATTAAAAAAAACCCACCAAAGTGCAACACAAAAGGCCTCCCATGGGGACCCAGCTCTGCAAGCATAAATATCTTCATGGGACAGTCACAAGGGCGATGGCTCTTAAATTCCTGTGATTCTGAGTTTTACTTCTAAAAATAAGCTCTCAAGCGTTTAAAGTTTCTGAAAACTCTGCACTGTACAATACTTGAGCAGCATTTCCTGCCAAGCCAACACTCTGAAGTTAATAAGGAAGCATCCAAATTAACTAGGTCACTATAAACACTTAAAACAGTTATGAAACTAAAATAGCAATTGTTCTGGTGCTTCTTTAAATATTTACTTCCCTATCCTCCTGTTCACTGGAGTGGCATTTCCTCTTGCCCACAAAGAGAAACACTGGCTGATGCAAACTGCACGTACCTGAGTTTTATTGCGGCATCCCCGGCACTCATAGGTGTGAGTCCTGGTGTTTGCAATCGCCATGATTCCACAGAGGTTACACACATGGACTTGGTATGGGTCTGAAGCTTCAAACAGTCTTTCTCTCAAGAACTGGGCCGCTCCATGAGCAATCTGGCAATCCCGTTCCATTTCTCCAAAGCGAAGGCCACCATCACTGAAAAGAATAAAAAAAACCCACTTAACTTTTCTGCTCATCGGCAAAATAATCATTTTTTGTTGGCAGAACAAGTATCTTACCAGAAACACAACAGCAGTATTGCAAGGCAGGAGGAAAGCTGTGCATTAATTTTCCTCTAACACCTCAGAATAAACTGTTAGGGAGAATTTGAACACAATAATTTTTAACTGCTGCTGAGCATTTCTACAGCAGGTGGCTGACAGCCACAGCACAACCACACAGCAAAATGAAGTATACAATTAAGTCATCCTCTACTTATCTGTGGTGAGTTTAACTTTGGCTGTCTGCTAGATGCCCGCCAAGCATCTCTCTGACTCCCCCCAGGTCGAGAGGACACGGGGAGAAAATAAGACGGAAAAGCTCATGAGTGGAGGTAAACCCAGGGATACAGCTGATCAATTACTGTCACAGGCAAAACAGACTCAGCATGGGGAAAATTAATTTATCGCCCATTAAGAATGGAGTAGCATGATGAGAAATGAAGACAAAACTAAAAATTCATCTCCCCAGCGTTCTTCCCAGGCTCAACTTCATTTCTTCATTCCAAACTCCTTCCTCCCCTCCCCATGGCCGCAGGGAGAATGGGGGCTGCAGTCAGTGCATAACAGTTCCTCTCAGCTGCTCCTTCCTCCTCACGCTTTTTCCCTGCCACAGCATGTGGTCCCTCCCGTGGGATAGTCCTTCACACATTGTTCCAGCATGGGCCTATCCCACAGGGTACAATCTTTCAGGAACAGATTGCTGCAGTATGGATCCCCCACGGATCATATACCTCCTGCCAGGAGCCTGCTCCAGCGTGGGCTTTCCATGGGCTGCAGGGCAGTTCCTTTTGCATTTTTTCCCTTCTCTCCCTCACAGCTGCTGCACAGCATTTTTTACCCTTTCTTAAATACATTCCCACAGAGGTGCCACCAGCACCGCTGACAGGCTTTGGCTGGTCAGAGCCAGCTGGAAGTGGCTGTGGCCAGCACAGGGCAACCCCTGGTCCTTTCTCAGAGAGGCCAGCCCAGCAGCACCTCCTGCTACCAAAGCCTTGATGCTGCACCCAACACTTGATCTTAAGCCAAATACATGAAAAATGGGTGGCTAATTGGGGTGAGCTAATGAAGTTCTAGCTGCGAAGCTGAAGCAACTTTAGTTCAGGGCTAAAAACTCGACAGAAAAAGAAAACCCCATATAGAGACTAACACACATCCTTACCGAGATCTACCTTCCATGGGCTGTCTGTTCAGTATCTGGATGGGCCCTCTTGCACGAGAATGGATTTTGTCATCTACCATGTGCTTCAGTCGCTGGTAATAAGTAGGACCAATAAAGATCTGTGATGTGATTTTTCGACCAGTGAAGCCATTGTAGAGGACCTGAAGAAGTCAATGCAGTCACTGAATCATAAGCCTTACTATCCATCAAATGTGTATTAAAAAGATTACAGTGAACTGATATTTTGGTTATACCTCGTTTCCTCTTAGATGATAGCCATAATCTGATAAAAGATTGGAAATCTTCTGCACATTGACAGCATCATTAAAAGGTGTAGCATCACCAATTTCTCCCTTGTTTGCAGATACCTACAGAGAAGAGATTTGCAAAAGTTTGTCACGTTTCTGAAGGACTGGTTATACCATATTAAGCTGTTTCAAACAGTTCAACACTTAATGCTTGAATTTGAGGCTCCATGCCCAACATAGTAACCTACCTTGCTTTGTTTATCAGCTACACAACTTAATACACAGTATCTACAAATTTGCTACTCCTTTTTCTAGGTCAGGGAAATGTCTGAACAAAAGTAATAGATGACAGAGCACACTGTGGTGTCTGACTTGATGGACAAAATTTACAGGACTGTAGGTCTTCCTCAAGAAACCTGCTTTTGCTATCAAGTAACTGCAGAACAATCCTTATTTTTCAGTGAAGTAACACCTACTAGGCAGTACTTACCTTTACAAAAAAACCCCCAAACAAACAAAAGCCCCTCCCCCAAATTTTAATTCATATTGCTCAGACATTCAGTATAGAAGATTTTTCTTACCTTGCCCTGAAGACACTCAATCAAGTGACCAATGGTCATACGGGAAGGGATGGCATGGGGGTTGATAATGATATCAGGTGTGATGCCTTCACAGGTGAAGGGCATATCCTAGAGCAGGGAAACAGACAGTCAATCCTTCCCAGAATATCATGTTTAGGAAAAGTAGATGCCTGGATCCAAATTAAATCTTTGAAAGTGTTTCAAAGGCATTTAAGTATCATGTAAGAAGGAGCTGTGTCCCCTTCTAAAAATATTTTAGCTAAATTTAAGTCAACACAGATATGAGTAGATATTCCACAGACAATTCACTTAAGGCAGTTCAAATGCTAAGAATGGCACAGGTAAAATGTTAAGAAGGAAAAAAAAATTACTACCTCTTGCCTATACTGGATACCACAGGTTCCCTTCTGACCATGTCTGCTAGCAAACTTATCTCCAATTTGTGGAATTCTTACAGAGCGCACCTGTAAGCCAGAGGGAAACATTCAACTGGTAACTTAAATACACAACAGAGATTATTAAAAGTAGAAAGCACACACATTAATGCTCACCCGAATCTTGCAGAACTTGTATCCTTCCTGGTTAAGGGTTACCATGACCTGATCTACAATGCCAGTCTCACTAGTTCGCAGGAAAGTGCTGCAGTCTCTCTTTGTGAAGCGTCTGTTTGTGCTTTCCAGTTCATCTTCGTTCTCTGGCAGCGTTACTGTTTTGCCAATGATGACATCATCCCCAGACACACGTACCCCAGGTGCTATCAAACCATCATCATCAAGTTTGTCATAGATTGCGTGTCTCATACCTTGAGGTAAAAAAGAAAAAAAGAAAGTAGACTCCCAAATTTTTCAATATATTGACTCTGTTGTTCTGTAGAAATTCAAAAAGTCTGCTTGCAACTTCAGACAACAGCAAAAAGATCTAATTTTACACAAATATCTCAACTGGTGTATTAATAACAATGAATACAGACTTCTCTGCTATCTTTTATGTCCCAAAATGGAGACTGAATCAGTTCAACAACATTAACAGCCTTGCCCACAAAAACTTAAATTTAAAAGCTCAGTCTTCACACACTCCTGTATCTTACCTTGGCAAGTTTCACGCGTAGGCTTTTCAAAAACTTCCTCTTGGTCATACCCTTTTTTAGACTCCTGCTCTTTGTATGAGCGATAGAACACAGATCTGAAACAAAGTTACAAAGTCTTCTCCAGTGAAGCCAGCATCATTTCCCCATATCTGTAAATCTGAATTTCACTATGATTATGTTTTAATCACACATTATGGCTACTATTATTAATGACAACCAGAACCAAATAATGAGCATATGCCACAAAGCTTTCCTCTAATTTCCTGTTAACCTGACCATCAATGAAGAGGGGAAAACAAAAACAGAACACCCCGCCCAATGAACTAACAAAAGTTTCTGATGGTATTATGACGGTTACTTTTAAGATACTGCATCTCTAGATAACATGGTAATTTTTGATGAACTGCAGAGACTTTCAGACTTGCTTGACATCTCAGAAGTAGTTATTATTCTTATTATTCACATCTTCAGCACATCATTCTCATATTACTTTCTTCCTTATACATGCCATTTTGCAAGGTTTTTTTAGGCTTCTACTGCTACCTTGCAGTGCCACTCACAGTACAACTGGAGCTGCAGTA